TTCAGGCTGTAAAATCTAATTTCTCCTAGAAGACTTCTAATGTTTTAGTAATGCAAGCACATTTGTATTAATATGAGCAGGAAATGATTTTGTTTAGTGTCCTGCTTGCATATTTCTGTTCTATCCAAAAAGAACAATTCCTCATTCTTAAGTAAGTTTATAGCTAATAGTTTGCAGTACAGTGACAGAGAAAAAGAGTAAAAATCTTCTCTTGAATTGTATATCTCATTTTGAAAAATCTTAGCTTGGAATTCAGAAATTAAGTTACCAGAATTTCTAAGAACATTGGGGTTTTTTTTATTTTGGTCTGAAACAAACTGGTATATATCTCTAGAGTGCATAGTATTAAATTTCCTTCTTTTTCCGGCTATTTCTTTGTCTCATGCCCTAGTGTGCTTTGTTTTGGGGAGTAGTATTTGTCATATTTACTTTGAGAAAGGGAAGAATGTAGGCTGCAGTCAGTTCATCATTTGTTGTCTCTGCCAGTTTTTCTTCTGCAGGGAGAGGAGTCATTCCCCGACTGCAGCATGGGGTTCCTCCCATGGGAGACAATTGTCCACAGATTTCTCCAATGTGGGTCCTTCCCATGGGCTGCAGTTCTTCACAAAGTGCACTAGCATGGGTCCCTTCCATGGGCTGCAGTCCTTCAGGAACCTACTGCTCCAGTGTCTCCCAGGGGAGACAATTGTCCACAGATTTCTCCAATGTGGGTCCTTCCCATGGGCTGCAGTTCTTCACAAAGTGCACTAGCATGGGTCCCTTCCATGGGCTGCAGTCCTTCAGGAACCTACTGCTCCAGTGTGCGTCCCTCACAGGTCATGAGTCCTGCCAGTAAACCTGCTCCAGCATGGGCCCCTCTCTCCATGGGGCCACAGGTGCTGCCAGGACTCTGCTCCAGTGTTGGCTTTCCACAGGGTCATAGCCTCCTTTGGGCATCCACCTGCTCTGGTGTGCTGTCCTTCCGGGGTGGCGGGTGGATATCTGCTCCATCGTGGGCCTCCATGGTCTGCGAGGACAGCGTGCTTCACCACTGGGTGCAGGGGAATCTTTGCTCTGGAACTTGAAGCACCTCCTCCCACACCTTTCTCTTTGACCTTCGCAGAACTGCTTCTCTCACATATTCTCACTCCGACTCTGGCTGCAATTGGTCTTGTGCAGTAACTTTTTCACCTTCTTAAATCTGTTGTCTCAGAGGTCACACTGTCACTGATGGACTCAGCCTTGGTCAGCAGTGTGTCTGTCTTGAGGCCAGCTGACACTGGCTCTGTTGGACGTGGGGACAGCTTCTGGCAGCTTGTCACAGAAGCCTCCCTGTAGCCCCCATCATACCAAAACCTTGCCATGGAAAACCAAGACGCCTTCTTTGCAGTAAGGGCACACTGCTGGCTCATGTTCATGTTTGTGTCGAAGAGGACTCCCAGGGCCTTTGCTGCTAAGCTGCTTCCCAGCTGGGCAGCCCCAGCCTGTTCCGGTGCCTGTTGTGCTGCCCCAGGTGCAGGACTTTGCACTTCCACTTACTCAGCTTCATGAGGTCCCTGTCAGCCCCTTTATCCAGCCTGTTCAGTCTCTCTGGATGGCAGACACCTCTCTGGTGTCACTTCTCCCAGTCTGGTGTGAGCTGCATTCATTATACATCTCTGTTTCTGACAGTTGGTCTCCCAACCCCTAGATACCTGTTTCGTGAGATGTTTTGTGTTTACCAAAAGGTTGTGTAATTTGACAGCTTGTTACCAAATGTTTTTTTCTGTCCATCTTTGACCAAAGTGTAAGTGGCTATATTTAGTGCATTAATGAATCCCTAAGCTGATTCCACAATATATTTATTATCCTGTGTTATTGGAAGCAAAGTGCTTCAACTTGGAGGCCTAGCTGCACTTCATTTGTTGAGTTGGCTATCATTTGTATGCCCTGTTATTGCCTAAGGTTAAAATTTTGCCTAAGACAAAATGTGGACTTTGCTCTAGCTGAAGACAGAACTCAAGTAATCCTTGCTCCTTTGCATTATTTAAATGCATAAGAAACATGAAAAGAGATTCAACTGTGAGAAGTTTTTATCTGTGATAGACTTGCATATTAATCTCCATGAATTTTGATTGTCTTCTAATTTCTTTTTTCTTTGAGGGTAGTGGTGATTGAAGGTGAGGTTTCTGCTTCTGGCTTGTTCATGTGGTGCTGTATATAAAATGTTCTAGTGACTAAACTGAAAATCAGAAATTACTATAATGTGCCTTATGAACTTGTAGTTAATAGAGAGCTTGCTTTTTCTGTAGTTGATTTTTGAAATTGATCATTTAATTGCTATTACTTTCAAAGGCACACTTTTAACTTGTATAACCTCATATGGATATATTGTTACTCTATTTTGCATTCTATTTTGAATTCCCACTTCTTGGCCACTCCCCCTTTCCCATTCAGTAAGGTGTCTCTGTGCTAGTCACTTTTGCATGGTTTTGTTTTTCTTTACTCCCTTGTTTTGTATAATTGCATTTTGCTATTTCTGGGTGAGGCATGTGGGATTAAATTGCCCGATCTAATTTTCAGCTCCCTTTCTCTCCTTTCACTCTAGTCTTTGTCATTAGTTGTGTCGTTTTTACTTCACTAATTCTATTCCCTTGGGGTCTGTTTCCTCAAATTTAGAGCATAACTGTGGTATCTTGATGTCCACATAATGAACCTAAGTAACTGTGTAATACTATTTTTGACTCTCTCATCCTCATTTTTTTCACTTGTTGTCTCATAGTTTCTGTATTGCATCATGCCTAAAATTACACTGAAATCTCTTCAGGCTAGTGCTGCCCTTTTCTTCCAAATGTAAAATTTGTGTTTGGAGGTATCTAATCTGAAGTACCAGGTGCATTAAGCGTTTAGCCATTTCATACTCATCCAGCTGATAAAACCTAGAAAGCCTTTGGGGATGAAATTGGACCATTTTTAAGTAGCATGAGGAAATCTTAGGCGTATGCTTATTTATTTCACTCCTGATAAAATTTCTTTGCTTTTTTAGACAATTCCAGATTATTACTCTTCCTCCCCCTCTTGTGGTCAGCAGTCTAAAAACCATGACTTGTCACATACGCCTCTAACATTGAGGTGTGTTCTGTTGATTTTTGCTATTACTGTGGTTAACTTTGTAGTGAGAATTGAAAGCTTTGGTAAATAAACCCTCAAATTTCAGATGAGAGGAGACTATTAATATTTGGTTTCTCAGTAGCTTTCCAAAAATCATAAAAGTTAAATTGTATACAAGCTAGATGTTTATAACAAACTTGATATAACCAATCATAGGCTTACTGAAGCTGGCAAAAATTGTTTGGTTTTAATCCTAGTCACTTGAAAATATCTTTCGATACTTCGAAAAAGAATCAGAATGTTGTAATTCTGTGTATGTTAAAACTCAGTGTATTCTTCCTGCCTCTGTTCTTCAGAGTTCTTGTTTGTCAAGTGTATTTGTGGTATGGTCTAGAAAAAAAAAGACAAAATTTCCTGGGTAATACAAATTTAAAAAGGTACTAGAACTTCCAGTCAAATGGTTTACAAAGACACTGCGTAGTTACTGTTGAATAATTATACCTTAAAGAGTAAAAATAATTGAGCCTTCTGGTTTTATAGTTGTCTTAACTTCTGTGAAGCATACCACACTTTTCTTTTTTGTGTGTATTTAGATGATTTTTGGTTGTCATCATAGCAGGGTCCTTTGTATATTGTGCAGCTTTGCATACTTCATTAGTGAAAATGATTGAGATCACAGAAGTGGAGACATGAAAATTTACATTAAAAAAGATTGTATCATTGCTTGCATGAATGGTTTTGGACAGCTTTGTCATATTTTCTGTGAGCTGAAAACTATGGCAAAGTCTATTTTTAGTTGTTTGTGACTGAATCTTTTGTGCCATCCTTCACTGAATAAAATTTGCAAGTTTAATTATGATTAATGTAAATCAGGTTTTTAAATCTTACAAATAGCTCAATGCAAATCTAGTGTAGCTGCCAAACAACAGGCTGTTTAGCCAGCATGGCTTCTTAGTCTGTGCTTAAGTACCTTTGATTTATAAGAAGCCTTTCTGGTACGTGTACCCTGAGATGGGAGTGAGTTTTCATAAAACACATGGATTTTAATTGGTTTCATGTCAGAATCCTTATAGCTTCCAGGGACTGGGAGACTCTTGGGTTTGGGTGGCTTTTTCTTACTAGTATTTGCAGGCCTTGATTCTTGCTATGTCAGTGTTTGTCTTTTTTTTTTTTTTTGATACTTGTAGAACACATTATACTAGTGTTTGTATGTGAAATACTCCATGCTTTGTGTTTTGCATATTGAGGAGGTTTTTACATTTCTTCCTATCATGCAAAATATGTTTGAGAGCACATTTTGTAAATCAGTATAAAATGTGTTGTTTTCTGACCCTGTGTGGAGGGGAAGGGAGGAAAAGGAGGACTCAACAGAACCAGTGCAGTCCTCACTGTGCTGGTCTAAGCATATGAAAGAACGTACTAATGTATTAAAATGCTTCAACAGAGATTTGCTGAGAACTAATGTTGTAATCTATTAGTCATCCTTTATCTGCTTCTATTTTTGCAGGTTCTGAAGGATGACTGACGCTGGTTTCTGTGATGCCGCTTGAAGTGTTTCGCACTGTGGATTGATGAGTAACATGCAGATTTAACTGCACAACCTGTGCCAAAAGCATCAGGAGTGCTGCTTCTTTTCAGCTCCTTAAGTGGACAGAAGTACAGTGTCATCTGTCTACGAGGAGAGATCCTTCAACAGCTTTTTACAGCTAATAATAAAGACAACGTAGCATCATCCACTTTCCTGATTTACAGCGCATCACCTTCCAAGACAGATGGTCTGTCAGAAGCTGGAGGATGCCCGCAGAGCACATAATAATGAAGAAGTGAAATGATACCACTGCTGCTGCCACCTAATTGTCAGGATCACAGCCGGTAGAACTGCACTGCCCTTTTTCTGCTTGCTTAATCAGGCCAGAAACAGCAGGGTGGACATGGCTGGTGTCGTTAACAACCTAATACTGCTTCTTCTTTTTCAAAACATCTGTTTGGGTTTCAGAAGCCCTCTTTCAGTCCTCAAGAGGTGGGTTATCAGGAAAATGTGTGTTGAATGCATGCAGTCACAATATTACAGAAGTATGAAAAAGCATATCCTAGATAAAAATGTGTGTGGTATTTGTTTGATTTTGCTCATCCCTCTGCAAAATTTTAAGTTTACACTCTTGTCATATTGAAGACAGAAATTCATGTTTTATCCATGGGTTGGAGTTTAGGGTGAAAAGGCAGCAATTAATAGAACTTCTTAAGATAACAGCTGTATTTGGGACTACACAAGGACTAAATATATTTCAGATGCTTGAGCTAGCTTGCAATATAAAATTATATTTTAACAAGAAAGCATCAAATAACTTAAAATTGAGCAGTCCTGGCAAAGTTAGGAGTGGTTTGAATGCAAAATCACATAGATAAACTGTCAGAGTTTAAGAGTGGACAAGAGAAGTAACCTCTTAGCTCCTGAAAAAGGTTTTTACTGTTTGTGAGGTATATTGAGCACTGTATTTTTCATGTCACTTCTATATTTATATATACATGAATATGCATATTTAAAATTTATATCAATGTTGCATCATGTTTCTAATGTCTTACCATTTAGTTCTTTACAGTGATCTACATTTTTCCTGCAATTTGTTTATATGTGGCATTCAATACAGACTTTGATATTCATGTGAAGTTGCAAAATTTAGTGTTTCACTTTGCTACTCATAATAGAAGTTGCTATAAACATCATAGTGTTTGAATTAAAAGTTTCCCTTTGCATGTAATTGAAATTTAATCTGTACAGAGTTATAAATAAGGAATGCAATCTTAAAAAAAAATAAAAACCAAAACCCCAAAACTGTTGTGAATTATTAACAGTACTTAACATTTTGTAGGGAATTTATTCTCTATCTGTACATCCCTGTACCTCAGACAATTATTAATGTAAGATGACAGGTAACGTTTTCAGCTGATGTTTTCCATATGAGTCTGTCTGATTGGTCAAAGGAACTACTTCAGTAAGTGCTGGATAGCTAAGATGTTTTCCTCAGCTCTTGAGGGAGTGAATTTTTCAGATTACTTCTGGAACTATTCAGCATTGTCAAACTTCTTTACTAGTTCTCTAGACCCTTCTTTTTAGAAAGGCATAACAGACATCAGTATTTAAAGAAATCTTTCCTTCTTCTTTTTAAGATATAAAGATACTACCAGATCTCTTTCCAGTGAATGCCTTGGAAACGACCAGACAATGATTTCACTTGGTCTGTCAGATTTTGCATTGGACATTCGCATGCCTGGGGTGACACCTAAGCAGGTGAGAGAAATGCAGTTTTTGCCACGTACTCTGTTTTAATAGCTAGGAAAACAAAGCCTTCCCCACAATATTGCTCACATAAAATGACCAATTAAAAAAGCATGGTAACTTTCAAAGGTGTGTATTCAGAAAAAAAGTAGGCAACAGAAATGTAACCTCAAATGAGAAAAAACTCTTTTCATCTGGTGAATTTTATTTGTAACATGTTGGTTTCATAAACTGAATTCCTGAAGTTTATTAAAACAAGGAATATGAGTTTTATGAAGTGAAATATTTTCAGCTGTGGTAGTAAGACATGCTTATCTAGAGTTGCGGTTTGCTTCAAATCTCAGATGAACCCTCAGTGAATTTAGTGACATGAAATTCTACATTGCTGTGACTTTTGCAGGCTGAGAGAAAACAACCAGAAAGCATTTTAGAAGGGGTAACACTTTTGACCCAATATTTTTAAACTTCAAAATACTCCATGAAATCTACTGTATATACACAAGTTATAGTGGTATATTCTTTCAAGTATGAAGTTGATTGTGTTCTACTGAGCTAAGTGAGTAAAATGAAGACACTGATTAAGATTTTTAAAATTAGCATTAGCATTTTTAAGGTTCACATAAAAGTCTGAGATTCCACTGTCATTTTCACATGTAGTTTCATTTAGCAAGTGTTGTGGTTTAACTCCAGGCAGCCACCAAACACCACACAGCCACTCGATCACTCCCCTGTCAGTGGGGTAGGGGAGAGAATCAGAAGGGTAAAAGCTGGAAAAACTCATGGATTGATATAAAGACACTTTGATAGGGAAAGCAAAAGCTCTGTACACAAGCAGAGAAAAATAAGGAATTAATTTACTGCTTCCCACAGACAGGAGGTGTTCAGCCATCTCTGGGAGAGCAGGGCCATCACACGTAACGGTTCCTTGGGAAGAGAAATGGTATCACTCCAGATGTCCCTCCTTCCTCCTTCTTCCTCCCACTGTATGATGTCATATGATACGGAATATCCCTTTGGTCAGTTTGGGTCACCTGTCCCAGCTGTGTCTCCTCCCAGTCTCCCATGCACCCCCAGCATGGCAGTATGGGAAGCAGCAAAGGCATTGGCTCTGTGTAAGCTCTGCTCAGCAATAACATCTCCATATTATTCACTCTGTGTTCAGCACAAATCCTAAACATGGCCTCGTACTGGCCACTTTGAAGAAAGTTATCCCTGCTTCAGCCCAAACCAGCACAGCAAGATAAACAATGATTAATTTTTGGGTTTTCTTTTGCAGTGATCCATACCAGGGAATTATAAACATCTTTAAAAGCTCTATGTGCTTTTTTAGAGGACTGCACATACTTGGAAAGAGCAGTATGTTGTGCTGCAGTGGATGATGACTCATTGTTGCAGATAGCACTTTCAAAAAATACTGAATTAGAAGTGAGGTTTTCAAGTTATTGGGGAGCACCCCTCTGGAATATATGATTTAGACCAAGAGGTGTCATTCTAGCAAGTGCAAAACAGAAATATAATTTCTACCAGATCTTATTTGTCTGCAGCAAAATATTAAACTTCTCTTTCAGAAGTAGTGAAAGGTACTCTGAGTTCATCCAATTACACATTTGTAATTAAGTTTTATTGATTTTGACTGTGGAGCCATTAGCTGAAGAGCTGGGAAACACATATGAAGAGATCAGTCAGTTCAGGTTCCCGAAAAAAAAGGCAAACCCCAACACCAACAAGAAAAAACTGGAATAGACATTAGAAACAACTTAACTTTTCACATTCATGTGTACCTATTGCCTTTATGTACACAGTAAACTGAAATGCCACGTTCTAGTTTTGGAGGAAGTATGAGGGAAGACAGCAATAGAAGGCAACTTGTCAAGCTAATTTTAAAAAAGTAGTGAAAGTAATCAATGGCTAGCCTTATATACTTCTATTTTATTCTCTCAGTCTCACCAGCCCTTCTTCTTTCCCTGATTTCTTCCACAGTGTCCCACACTAACCGTACAGGAAACTTGATTCCCATTTAGAAAAGTTCAGCAGTGATATACTCAGGAAGAATCAGTGGCAGAAAAAGCAATCTTTGTTTTCTTGCATTTCACAGAAGGAGATACCCAACAGCTTTGTAGTTCTGGAAGTAGCTGTTAGTTCTTTTTTGTGGCAGAAAGAACATGGAAGTGAATAATTCTCTTTAGGGAGGAAATCCTTGGGTAGTGACTTCCAAGTGCGATTATAAAATAATGGTGTACATCCAGAAAGGGCTTTTTGGTTATGATTAATTGCAGTTTCTGAATTCTCAAGTATAACAATTTGTGTGGGAAAGACAGGACTAGAACAAAAAGGAGGAGGAGCAGAAATTATTGGGGAAGGTGTGAATGGGTTAAATTCCAGAGAACAGAAGAGTATTTTTAGGGCAACACCAGCATGTTCTGTGCTATCTGTTCTTTGTCATGCATCTTCTGTGAAAAGAAAATCTTGTTTCAATTGGATTGTAATGAATTTTGAATTCACTGTTTGGCCAGAGGTTAATACTTTCTGGAGACTTCACAGACTGAATTCTTTTGTTCTCTCTCTTGCTTGGTGGTGTGCACACATGACAGTCTCATTTCTTACCTAGAGTCACAGCTAGCTAACAGAAAGATGTATAATGGAAGTAACTGGTTCTTTGTTTACAAGTTATGACCAGCGTGACCTGCAGTAGACATACAATCAGAATGTTCATATAACATCAGAATTGTTCTAGTAGGATTGCAGTCACTGGTTGTTTAGTCAAAAGTGTCTCCAAACTGAAAAAAGACAGGGAACTCCTGAAGTTGTACTTCTGCTGAGTTGAGTTCATCCACAGCATCACTGTAGGTAATTGAATGTAATTTTATTTTCAAGGCCCATGATACTTCTGCTTCTCAGATAATTCTTGACAGAAACAGATACTGAAAATTTCTTTCAATTCTAAGAAACTAACCTTCTGCATGCATTCCCTGAAATTAAGATGAATTTTTGGTAGTACCAGTAAGGTCATACCTAGATTATGATCATCTGCATTATTGTTATGCAGTGATTATTGTATGAATTACTGAATTCTCTTGATGTAGGGACATACGGCTAAGATATAGCTTAAGCTCTGTAAAATATGTAGCTCTGTAATTTCAGTTCCTGGGTTAAGTATGTGCACATTTCCAAGAAACTCCAAATGATTTTGTATCATCTGCCCCTTACCATGGTTGTAGTAGTATAATTCTTAGTGAAATGCAAATACCTGGAGCCAAGTTTAACATTTGTCCTTTAGTAGGTTAGTTGCATAAAATTTAATTTATGTATCTCATCTTGTGAAGGCTGGGAAAAAGGTTCCCGAAAATCTTGCATTTTTTTCCAATGAGTTACTGTAGTTGTAGAGGTGGGATAACACAGACCCAGGATTTGTCTTGCATTTTGTAGTTGCAGTTGCTCCATGGGTGCATCAATGGGAAGCAAGCCCTTACCTGACTTAGGAGTGCACTAACTGTACAGATCTGCCCTAAGATGTGTGTTCTTTTGGCACAGGTGCCACACACAAACTTTCATGAACATCTGTTCGGAATGCTCCTTATGAACAGAGGCACTTGAAATGTATATTCAGGCAATACAAATCTGGCCATCAGTGGGGCAGAATACGCCTGCAGCTTGGATAATAAATTCAGTTTACATTTGTGGGTACTTCTGAGCATACCACCTCTCATAAGTGGGGTAAACAGTATCTGTGGTACTTAAGTACTCTGGAGGGGTTGGGGGTTTTTAATAGTTCCAATTGTACAGTAGGGAAAAATAAAACTAACATACCTTGTTAATCCAGTGAAGGGTGGAGGATATCTAAGAGCTATGGAAAGGAAGCCTGAAGGACTTTCTGTGTTCAAGGGAAAAATTCTATAATAATTCTTTGTACTGAAGATAATTACCAGTAAATTAACCCTCTGAACAGTAAATTCATGGCATATTAAGACTTATTAGGCAAACAGGTAGCTGTATGATTTATCTTCCAAGAAGGGATTGGATCCGCTCATTTTGAAATTTCAGATACAAATTTCTAAATTCCAGATAGGAATCCTAATACTGTTAAGCAAATTTAAGACTACTTTGTGAAAGCATTATTAAGAGTTTAGGGTAAGCATATTTAATGTGCTGATACCACAGTTTTGCTTATGTGTATATCTGGGTTTGCTACAAATCAAATAAAAAATAATTATAAAAACCTGTAGTTCAGTTAAGACTATACTTCAGGTAATTTTGCTCATAAATAATTGGGGATTTTAATAAATTATTACTATGCTTGAGGCTGAAGAGATTTTTCATTGGTAAATTAATTTTGGTACGACGTTGGTCGAGTTCTTAAATGCATATTTGAAATTTCATAAATGTTGCTAAAGGCACAAGAAGGAGTTAAAATGTTATTTGATGGGATATTGTTAATGTGAAAAGATTGTGTTTGGAGAGGTTGTTGTCAAATGAATTTTGCTAGGTTTTGGGTTTTCTGTCTTTTTTTAACTGCTTATCTTGAGCTTCTGCCAGTACGTCAGCAGTAACTCACAACTGCATTTGCGATTTTGTACATGTACTTTCTCGGTCTGATCTATTTGGTTAAAATCTATGTTCCAATCTGGAGTTTTCTTCTCTTTAAATTATACCAGATTTTGGAAAAAAATAAAATAATATTGCTCATTCAGATATCCGTAAGTTACTGGCACATCTTTCTTTACTGTAGCTATGACAGCTGAGTTCTTGACCTAAGGATCCCCCAAGACTTGCTCTGACTCTGGAGAAAGTTGTGTGAATTATTTGGTTATTACTTATGATGAAATTTTGGAAGAAGTAGAATTTAGTTACTTGTATGAATCTGTACCTGAGATTTATGAGAAGTGCAGTTTTTATTCAGTTAACAAGCTGTGCAGAGAAGCTGTGGCTGTCCCATCTCTGGAAGTGTTCAAGGCCAGGTAGTATGGGGCTCTAAGCAACCTGGTCTAGTGGAAAGTGTCCCTGCCCCTGGCAGGGAGGTTGAAACTCAGTGATCCCCGAGGACTATTCTGTGATTATCCATTTGACCAAACAATCTCTTCTGTGACTATACCGAATAGGAGTTAGTTATGGAAAGACCATAAGAGGTAGGATGATAGTAATACAAAAACTAGAACATACTCTTCCTGTTTACAGTAATAATAAGAGGTTACTGGCTTGAAGTTTTAGTCCAGACTATTTATCTAATAGATAGTGTAGTTCTTTGTGTCTTGAATTTGTCAAACAAATTTTAACCAATAGATAATATTCAAATTTATTTTTCCTTCCCTTTTAAGAAGTTATTGGCAGCCTTTTGGAAAGGGTTGTGTTTAGGGTATTTTTTCCTGTTTTCTCTGCTTTTGAAAAATGCATTTTAATAGGGAGGAGGAGAAGATTAGTTTTTTTAAAACAATGTGGGTAGTAGTATGGAACAGTAGGTAAGGGATGTGAAACTAAGCTGTGAGTAGTATAAAAGTTTAACAATCCAATGCTTTGCCTGCGCTGATAATCTATGGACTTTTCATGTTAAAGTACTGTAGGCCATGATCTCTCGTTAATGAAGTAGAGTTGCTTCAGATTACCCTGGAGGACAACCTGATGATGGATAATATAAGGCAACACAAGTAATTAACAGACAGGTGCAAAGTAAAAAGCTCTGAATATTCCTTGCTTTGCTTGCCCCCCACCCCACCACGTTTCTTTTCCAAAGCAGTGAGAGAATGACAAAAAACATGCAAGATGTTTAACTGGCACAGTTGCTACTTGCAGATGAGTCAGAGAGGAACGACAGTTCTGCAGCAGCTCAGATAAATGAGCAGCACAGTATCGTTTTAATACAGCTGTAATTTCTAGTTAAGAGTCTTTGATTTTTGCAAAAAGCCAAAAAGATTACTACATCCAGACTTACAACAATCTTTGTAGTTGTATGACACAAGTTATAAAATCTCAACCATTGCATATGTGATGACTCCTAATTCTCTGTTCTTAAGTAATTTAATTGTTAATGGGGGAAATGATAATTTAAAAAAATGCATGTTAATCTCATTTTTAGTCCATACTGTTTCTAATTTCAGTTTTTATTTAAAGACAAAAAATCTGTTTGTTTTCATTTATTTGTACTACAATGTGAAGCATTGCTGCCATTGACTTTCATTTTGGGTAATAAAGTTCTAAATTCTGTTTTGCCTTATTTTTTTTAATCTGCTTCTACCCCAGGTTAAATAAAAAAAGCTAGAATATTTCCTTTTCTGTTTCTTGAAGGCTTTAGTATGTTCATTGTGTAAATGCATGTAACAAGAGTACACAGAGGCATTCACATCAGTTCTATCAGCTGACCTTTGTTCATCCTTCCCATCTTCTAGCAAAAACACCAAAAAATGGTTTCTTATCTGTGCACATCACTGCTCTGTGTAATCACATATTGTTATCACCACTGTACTTATTCTTCTTTCTCAGTTGCATTTAATTGTTTACACCTATTTGCAGTGTCTTCTTTTCAATTAGGTTTGAAGTTTTTCATAGTAGGAATTTTATTTTCATCCATTTAGATGTCATTAAGACAGTTCTGTCAGATTTTCAGTTTACAGGTACAGAGAAATTTCAGAAGCTTACATACTTACTTTCTTAAGCATCCTTAAAAGTTGAAAAAATAGAGGTTTGAAATAGTTAATCGTGTAAATATCAACCTACCAGCCACTTTGATGACCTTATTGCCTAATCTCTGTTACGTGTAAATAAACAACGACAATTAATTTACTTCTTGTAGTGATAATCCAGATAGCATTTTTCATCTTTGGCCAGGTATCTCAATAAAGGAGGTGATGTTTTTTGTAGATGGTCCTTTTGTATATATTGATTTGTCCACTGTTCGCACATTTGTCTTCAGAAAGCGTAGAGAATTTTGATGCTTTGTTTCTATTCTTTTAATTCTAAATGTTACAAATCTAAAGGTATTTTCTGGGTTTTTGTCTTTAATAGTCTGATACGTACCTCTGCATGTCAGTACCCCTGTCAGTGGACGATGAAGCCTATGTGGGTGAGTATTGGTTGACTAACCTAAGCAAGCCATTTTGAAGAACCTCAGTGTTTTCTTTTTTTCTCTTTGACTCATATTGACTTAATCTTTGGCTGTCAGAGTTTCCAAAATGCGTTTGTCATGGCTAATGTGGAAACAAACTAGAGAGAGGCACTTAGAGTCAGAATAACAAACTGTATCTGAAGAGATTCATGAGTAATAGTTAAGGAGCTGCATGCAGATGCCTCTGCCACTCAATACCAAACAGTCCTATTTGTAAAGTATTGGCTTTCTGTCTCTGGACGGATACTTAATTCTGCTCTGCTGAGCAGACTGTTTATTTACCTGCTGGTAAAGGCTTTAAATCCTTTGCACTTACAGTCAGTGTTGGCTGCAGTAAGATTTTACTTAACTAGGGGAAAAAAACAGAACTAACCAAACCCTCTCCTTTCCTTTTTTTATTTTATTTTTTTAATGTCATGGTATGAATAAGATGTCAGACAAATATAAGGAAATATTGTAATAGCTTACAAATGTGATCATTAGATCAGCAGAACAACAGCATCTGTTCGATGTCTGTGAGCTACTTCTGATTTTATTGTGCCTTGCTTCTGAACATGCAGTTGTTCAGGTAGAGGGGATGCTTGTTGGTTTGGCTAGAGATAGTTTCACTATCAGAACATGCTATAAACTGAATTAAGAAAAATGAGAAGTTAAAATATCTCTTTTTCTTTCTTTACTCTTTTGTTTCATTTTAGGATATCTGCACTTTTTATGTGGTGGGAATCCCATGTAGTTTTTGTTGTAGTGTATTATGAGACTGTTGTTCCATGTGAATTTCCTTGTGGAAATCCTTCAGAAATAGAATACTGTGCTTCCATTTTCATGTTATGTTACACTAACTAAAAAAAAAAAATTGAGTAAATTTTCTTCAGTGTTTTCTCTGTAAATCTGTTTTGTACAGAGGTGGGTAGCTGACCTTGCATTTTGATTATGAGATTGACCCTGGAAGGAACAAAAGTCATAAGAGGGAGTGAATATTCAGTCTCTGATAAACTGTGTTTGCTCTGCTGTGTGTACAATAGACTCTTCTGCTTTTGTTTATTCATAGTAAGGAAATAACTTTCTGTTTAAGCATTTTTTATTTAGCACGTCACTGAGTCGAAAATTTGCATAGTTCAACTCACTACTAGATTGCTGCACATCTAGTTCTGTTCTTTGGTGTCTACATGTGTTAAAGCCTCATAAACTTCTTTTAATGGTGTATATGTTTAAAAGTGCCTACTGAAAGAATATGCACAAAAGTGATATCTATGCAAAGTCTCAATGTCACTCATGCAATGCAAACCTTTATTTTTTCTCCTGGAGACTAAGAAGCTTCCCGGTTTTAGGTGTTCATATGTTCTTCACCTGACTTTTATGGAATTTGGTCAACTTTCCTGTGATTAGTGTGCTTGAGGTCATGTCATTACAAAGCAGGATAGGGTCTGGTCAAAGAAACAATCCTAGTTGTCAGGTGGAGTTTTGAAGAGCAAGAGAAACTCAGTAAGCAAATTTTTAAAAATACTCAACTTTTTCTATGAATGTAAAGCATTCCCATGATACTGTTCCTTCCAACCTCTTATATTTGGAAGCTTTAAAACAAAATTAATTGGATTTTTTTTCCTATTTTGTCCACTGCACCAAAATGAATAGGGATATAGTCAGTCTTAAGCATGTGATCAGTTCTATCTTGCTTCAGTAAAATCACTGGAAAGTGCTCTTCATGGAAAAGATTTGTCAGATTGGAGTCTTCACAATCAACAGAAATTACCTAATCATTAGAAAGAGTAGAGTCAGTCATATCCAGTGGTAGAGAATAGGAAGAACACAGGCTGACCTATCTTATAAAATATTGAGATAGGAAATTAGATCTTTTCAGGTAAGAGATTTTTATAATAGCTATCATCACCTAAGAAATGAGATGCTTAGTGGAATTTTTCCTTAAATTCTTCAGAATACTGTTAAGTGTTGTGAAGCTAGCTATTAACTTGCATGTATGTATTTTGTATTGCTTAAGTAAGCATAGAAGGTTACCACAAAGAGAATGAATACTTTTTTAAAAAGGGTAGAGACTGCATCTTTATAGTTTGAGTAGAATCTGCCTTCACAGCATTGCCAATAAATGGTGTAATCAACTTTCCCTAAAACATACTATTTTGCTTTGTGATAAAAGGATATGAAAACTAACATATGAACTGTCACTCTTGGTTGCTGTTTAGTGATGTATTGAGAAGACGGTATGTGTTCTGAAGATGTTCAACATGAGTATGTCTGAATACACATAACTGAAGCAATAACCTGGCTTTCTGACACAGTGTGATGGCAAAACTGAGGCAGAACCTATATGTTCTGCCTTCAGTTCAATTTATTTGCACTTAGTGCTAGATAAGTAAATGCATTCTGAGTTCTTTTTCCCTTTTGCACTTTATAAAGGACACTTTTATGACCATATGTCCTTACTGTTTGACAAAGATGCCGTGTTTTGTTCCTTTATTTTACTTAATTTTCCTCTTTTTACCGCCATTTCTTCCCTTCTCCAAGACACTGGAAAAGGAGGTTCTGTTATGGAACCTGCAGCAGGATATTTCTGTTTTATGTTGATGAACTATAAGGGCCTTGGAAGAGAGAGCTTTTTTTTCAGCATTGTATGTAGGCAGTACTATACTCGCAGGAAATATTTTCTTCAAGTTTCTTTCAATATTTTAATTAAATTTGTATTTGAGGACTTTGAATTCAAACTTCAACTTTGCTATTCCCCAAAGGATTCAAAACCAGTAGACATTCATGCTTACACAGGGACAGTGGATATAACTGTACTGCAAACCTGTAAAGATGCTGTTCCAGATTTTACCGATTTGTTCAGTCAGTTCTTGGATATTAACCAAACTTACTTATGAACTGTTAGAACTAGAAGGAGAAGCAGACCAGGTTTTGCCCTAGAGGCATTTTTCAAGCGTGCATCAGTGTATTTTTGCAAATGCTGTTAGTTTCCTGTATTATGTTCTTCAGTGGAGGGTCAGACAGTCAAGGCTAAGATTTCTGTTTGAACCAGTTTTTATTTTTCCATCCCAAAGGGCTGTAAATGCACACGAATTGGGGTAGGAGGAATGTTTGTGGGGTGACTTGGTGTACATTTAGGTTAATGTTTGGTACATACCTTTTGCCCCTCTGAAATGAAATGGCCATGAGATTAATATGTAAAAGATCTTAGTGAGGTGAATATATAGTATTTCAAGGAAGTATCATTCCATTTACATCTTGAAAATATATTACAGTTTTCTTCTTCTGCATGGTGTTTGTTTAATGTTTATGAGTAAGTCGCCAAACCAGAAACTCGATTGAGTCTTTAATGGTGCAGGCATTGATAAAAATCAATTTTTCACTACTAAGCCATAGAGGTAACTAAAGGGTGCTCTACAGACACTCATGAGAATTGAATCTGACAGCAAGCCACTCAGCCAAGAAACTTGACTGTCATTTTCACCTCCTGACATTGATTCACGTGGGTGACCAGAAAATAAATGTGTCTTTTTCTTACTGACTCATGTAAAGCCCCTATTTGTCAGATTGTGCTGTAGAAGTGAAATGGAGCCTTTTACATCCAGCAAAACAAATTTAAATAATTAGATGGTTTATTGTATTTCATCAGTAAAAGACTTTGGGAAGCTATGGGTTTGTTACTCTAACATGGCATATATAAATTTCTCAATTGCTAAGCAATGATGTCTTCACTGCGTTGAAGGCCTCTAATATCTCCCTAATCTTCCAAACTCTGGACACTGAATTGTTAATAAATTTCTTTAAAGTTAATTCAATTATAGAGAAGACAGCAATATTTAAAAAAATAAAATATCAGCTTTGTATCATTGCATTGTTATTTGTAAAGATGAACTTCTTAGAAATTAGTTGTTTCAATAAATAGCTTTACTATAGACTATTGTGATTAAACTGATATCATGCTCCATTCTTTCTTCTTTCTTCTGGAGTTTGTAATTCTAAGTAGTCTTTGGTCAAAAAAATAAGTCAGACTTTGATTTAGAATATATACCAAAACTTATAATAATAAGTTAAAAAAAAACCCCGGGCTCACAGCCTGACTGGGAGGTTTTTCAACACCTCCTTCAGAAGCAATGATGAGCTGTATCAGCTAAAATGATGTATGCAAGTGTCTAATGTAGAAGTCTGATTTTGCTTTGTTAACTCTGGTGCATTATTTTCTGTTAGTAAAAGAAGCATTTAATAAGCTATTTGTAAAAAGTTTTATAATAGTGCTTAAAGGTCCTGTTGATGGAGTAGAATGTCATTGTAATGGACACTGTATGGAGGAAATAAAAGACTTCCTTACACACCCTAATGTTACAGTAAATGCATATGGTGGAAGAGTGGTAGAGAAATAAAAAGAAACAGTGAGATAGTATTAAACAACAGGACAGGTGGTGGCTTTAGCAGGCAAGAGGTCTTACCTTTTGATAGTAAAGTTAATGAAATTTCACATGTATGAACTGTTTATAAACTCCTTCAGAAATTTAATCTCTCACTTGGTAACAGCAGCTTGAAACACCTGAAAACTAAGGTAGAAAGTCCACATAAAATGACACATTTCTTGTCCCATATGAGAGTTAACCATAATTTCGTTATGTGCTGGTTTGAAAGCAAACCAGTGAGAGACTCCAAGTCAGAAGTACAATTTAATAGGAAAAAAACCCAACAACAAATGCAAGAGTACAAAAAGAAACCTGGTCACCTGACACCCTGTCAGTCAGGGTGTAGTAGTAGTCTGATTAAATGGTGCTGCAGTCCTCCTGCAGTGATGGTTCTGTTGGAGCAGTGATCCCGCAGATCTGGTTCTCTCCCGAAGGTCCAGTGGCAGCTCTTGGACCAGCAAAGGGCTCCCTGTGCTGGTCCAAACCCCAGTTTATATCCCTGTGGGAATGCTTGGCTCCCCACCCCCATGCCGGAATGCTTGGCTCCCCCCTTGTGTGAAGCATCTCACAATGGGATGATGTAATTCTGTGGGTCATACATGGGTCCCAGACAGCCCATTAAACAGAGACAGCCCCTGAGGGAGCCATCAGGGATGAGGAGAGCAATCACTGCCCTCACCTGCTTTAATAGCCTGTGGAGACACCCCATTGGCTGCCCCTACACTGCAACTCAGGACACATTATTGATTGTTACTGATAAAAAAATCAAAGTAAAGGTCTTTCTGTAAAATGGGTTAGGTTTTAAGACATGAAATTAGTAGAATTTGCATGTAGGAAAATTAAGATGTTAGGTGGTCTTTAGTCATGCTGTCAGATTTGGCACTCATGAATTCATATATGCTACCTTCCCAGGGAATGTGGATACATCTCTTGCTTCTGAAACCAAGCCCTTAGCTGTAATATGGTCATTTCCTTACAATCTGACCGCATACCTTATGTCTTGAAGTTGGGATTTGACTTGCATTCCTTAACTTTTGGCTGGTTTTCCTCAGTTTTCTCAACAGATCTCAGCTCCAAAAATTGGGTTAGAAACTATTTGATTAATATTTTTTTCCCTCATGAAACTTGGACAATAATCCTTGTCATCATACACTTCAGGAGCCATGCCTCAGCTGTGTGTTGAAATACTAACTTGAGAGTGCAGTTAAATCCACCAACCTCTGGAGCAGAGTAGTGTTTCAGTGGTTTGCAGCTTTGACATGTCCCCATGTTAAGAGCTAAAAGACGCTTACTTAAAGTCAACTCGGTAGCTATGTACATGTAAGGATAGGAGTGACTTGGTTTTTTGAATTTATGCTGTTGTATAAGGTTAGAAAGCCTCCAAGGTCCTTCTCTGTCTTAGGTGGAGAAAATTTCCATTGCATTCCCTGCATCTGACACATCTTTTCAGTAGTATTAAAGGAATATGGCTTGCTTTATTTTTAGAAATGTGATCACTGTGCATTCATGGTCAATATTACTACAGCGTGATGTTGGTAAACTTTTTCCTATGACAACAGGATCACAAACACTTGAGAAACCAGAATAGTGTTTTTGTTTGTGATATGGGATAAAAAGCAGGCATTACAGGCACATCTAAGTTTCTAATAATTGTTGAATTTAAATAAGTCTTGTTTTCCATTCCAGTGGGTTTGACGTTATTACTGAGAATCAATCAGAATCCCTTCTCGGAACTGTTGTCCCAAGAAGGATGCAGGAAAAATGTAAACTAGGTAGAATACTGGAAGAAGATCATCTAACATCTAGATATTACTAATGCTTAAGATTTTAGTTGCTCTTAACTAACTACTGTGCATTTGTATTTTTTATGAAGAAGTACAAAAGAAGTAGAAGAGTATTAAATTGTAAGTTAGATTGAAATTGGAGTGGTTACAGTAAAATGTTGTGGTCTGGGATACATTGATATGTTAACTATCATATTTAGCTTTTGGAGAAAACAGTAGTTTTGATTTGGAACATGGGATTTCTTTTTCTTAGTGACTGAGGTACAGTGTTATAGCTTGGAAGATAGGCTGTTGAATGGAAATTTAAGGAAGGCTTGTAAGTGGAATGCAGAAGGCAAATAAATGAGTGCGGACATAGATACCTTATTTTTAATATTACAGAGAGAAAATGGCACAAAATGGTCTTGCTTATGTAACTTACAGTGAGAATATGGATAGCTTACTTGTTTTGCCATTTTGTCTTTCAGTTGACTTTAAGCCTCATGCCAGCATGGACACGGTCCATCACATGTTACTCTTTGGATGTAATGAACCGTCTTCTAATGAAAAATACTGGTAAGAGCAGCAATTTGCTTTTGTTATTACCCATCTTTTTTTGTGTGTTGATTGGTTCCACATAAACCTTTTCCAGTGTCAACAATTTCTTGGAAAAGTAGGAAAATTTGGAATGAAGAAGAAATGTATAACAATCTAGTCTTTCCACACTTAAAGTGTTTATTTTTTTAACTAACTTCTCTATAAGGTGGAAAAAAATGTTTTTCTGATTCTTCATGACTAATTGAGTGTCTGCAAGGAGGGGGCGGGAGCTATGGTGAGCATGGTACCATTGGATACCAAGACATCTAAACTTCATGTATAGTTGGCTGCATTTGTATGTGCGAAATATTGTATCAGGTGTCCAGAATGAAACTGTGTGAAGGATAAGCTGAAGATTCTCTTTATCAAGTGGTTTTGTAGTTTACTTGTCCTTCAAAATGCCTAAGCAGTGAGGGCATAGGGAAACTCACAATGCCAATAAAACAAGTGGGGGGGCTGAAGTGGAGAGAATATGAAGATGGGTGGAAATTAGCTGTCTGTCCAGAAATATTGCAAGTTTACTCCATGTTTTCACAAGAGAGCAGATGAGGTATTTTTGCTGATGCTGCAAAGGTTATATGACTTATCCTGAACTGTAGAACAATTTAATATACATTTTCTGATAGAATCGTGTAATCAAAATTAATTTTTAAGTATTTACCAGAAAGGTAGCTAGACCTGTATTTTAGAACTATCAGTATAGTAGTATAAATTTTTTTTAGAAAAATTAGCATTTTGAGGCATCTGTGCATGTTTTGTGCCAGTGATTTGATTAATATTTTAAACATGCAACAAACCTACATCAAAAGTTTTTTCTCCTTTTACCTATTAGCCAACAGTTTTAGTATTGAAAATGTTGTAATTTTGTCTTGAAAGAAAAGCAGATGCTTAAAAAGGTCAGACCAAAGTAAAATGGAAAGCACAGAATTTCTATTAATTTCTATTTCTGCGGACAGCTCTTCTATGTTCTTTTCATTGTATCGTATATGTTAGAATATACTTCTTGAATAATGTGAGTACTTCTTGGGCATAAACTGAAAAATACATCAATTAAAACTGTTTCCATTGTGGCCTTTTAAAAGCAGTTTATCTTGAGTGTCCTGTTTCAAACTGAGTGGATTATACTTGTAGATTATTTGGTTTCGTATGTCCGGAAGTAGTTTTATTACAGTCTTGAAATAATTTGTACATGATAGAACTATATTGTTACAGATTGATCAAGTAATTGAGTTGAAGTTAGATGTTCTGAAGAATGTAGATGAAATGTTTAGCTCCTGAACTTTCACATGTGAAGAGATGCATCAAAAGCCAAAAGACAATGTTCTTAGAAGCTGAATCAGGTGCAAATCTCCATTTTGAGACTAGGGTTCAAGTAGTTTGAGCTCCCATACTGTATGTTCACTCTTCCTGAAGAAGGATGATTGCCCAGAAGAAAACTTGTCAGTGACAGTCTGTGCAGCTGCTTTAGTTCTTGATTGCTGTACTTATCCGCTGCCTGTCAAATGATGCAATACTTAGCTGTAAGTAAGTATGGTATGGCTTGGCTGGATGCCAGGTTTGCACCAAGATGCTCAGTACCTTCCCTCCACAGCTGTTTCCCCCCAAGCTGTTCTATCCCTCCCATCCACAGCAAGACAAGGAGGAGGGAGAAAAGAACTTGTGAGTAAACATAAAGAGAGTTTAGTAAAGCAAAAACAAAGGCTGTGTGCAATAGCAGAGGAAACAAAGTATTTTAGTCTCTTCTTCCCATCACCAATTGGTGCTGGCCACTTCCCAGGAGGCAATGCTTCAGACAAGTAGTGGTTGCTCTGGAAGACAAGTGTTGTAAATAACAAATGCCCCCCACTTCTTCCTCCTTTCTCCTAGCTTTTATTGTTGAGCAGACATATAGTTTAGAGTATCCCTTGGGAGAGGCCGTAGCCAGGACAGCCGACCCAAACTGACCAAAGATATTGCCCACCCCCAGCCTACTGGTGAGGGGGAATGTTGGAGGAACTCCACCATAGCACGACCCAATACATCAGTGATATATTTAATTCTGATATTTCCAAATTTTCATATGCAGGTTTTGATTAAATCTTGCTCTTCTTTTTGTGTGTGGTTTCTCAGGTGTGTTTGCTTTGCCTTCTCAAAATAGAAGCTCTTCAGTGTCCTACCATTTCACATTCCTGTTTATACAACAGTTTGCAGCTTTTCATCTTGCTCTCTGCATGGTATCTGCAAGGCTAGAAAGACAGTCATGTGTGTTCTGCATAAAACAAACTTTAGACATCTACATTTATGCCTTTGACACACTTGCATAAGCTTGCAGAGATGCCTGGTTGCTATGTATCCATATGTGTGTATAATTAATGTAGTATGTTTTTGTATGTGTGTGTAAACATATGCATATTTCTGTAAATGTCTAGGTTGTAAATATGTTCATTTAAACATTGAGATATGTGGAAACTGTTGTACATTTTGCTAAGTCATTGCATTATAGTATATATAATTTAAAAGCAAGTATTTTCCTATTCATTCAAGTTTCCTAGAGGCTTCTAACCTAATTTCGTAAAAGTAATTCTGAGGAGTATGTCTTATTTCTCTTTTTAAATTTTTTTTTTTTTATTTGTTGTTCCTTTTATTTCCCACAGACTAGTTAGTGATGACTTCACTTGGTCTTCCATCTGCTAGGTGAAAGAATGTTTGAGCATACCACTGTAAGATTTGTTTGGCAAGGATCCTTCCCTTTCCTTTTACATGATCAACATTTTTACAGTCAGGTTTTATTCAATTTAGGCATGCCATATAGATGTTTTCTTTATCATAGTTTCTTCATCAAAGTTCTGGGCAGTGTTAATTACACAGTTTGTAAACAGTTGTAAGAACATTAAAACATGTCAAGTCAAGAGCTACTTCTCATACCTTTAGGATGTGGACTAGTTGTATTATGGAAAATGGGCCTTTAGGAGTGTTCAGAATGCAAGGAGAAAATTAATTTCCCTGAGGTGTGAAATTTCTTTCAGGCCAATTTTGAGTGGGGAGGAATGGGAGAGAGGAAGAAGCAGCATCCACATAACTGTATTGGGATTAGCGGCCCTCTAGACACAGCAGTGCTGAGCCAAAATCTGTGATGCCTACCTGGCCTGCTGCCTTTTGTGATGATTTGATGTTATTCATGCAAATGTCCCTGGCCATCTGAAAGGCTGTCAACCAGCATGGGACCTGTGCTGGCTCTGACATTCACTGCAACATCGTAGAATCTTTATCTGAACAAATGTGTACGCAGGTGTTTCTCCATTCTTGAAATACCCAGGCATTTCCACAGAAAAAAGTAGTCTCACAGGGTTCATAGTGCCAGGTGTTGCCTTGTACACCAAAAAAATGGTATAGCTGCTTCTGTTTCTTGATAATAACTGCCCTAAAAACAGTTCAGCCACTATGACAAGAAGGTTTGTCTGAGCTCATGAACTGTGCTGAAATTGAAGTAACATGCCTAAACTGATAGATCAGAAGTTCAGTCTCTCCGTAAATAATCAAGAATATGCTTGAATGATTTAAAAGAAAATGCTGAATTATTCAGAACTTGTGAATCTCCTGGCAAGACAGGTCTTGTGCAACGTCAAACCTAACAGTGAAATGAACTCCCATGAATGACCTTATTCATAGACATAGCCTTTATTTTGAGATCAGGCAGGACAACTTTACGTAGTTATCTAATCTAAACAAATGTATAAGTACAGATCATTGATCACCACCCATTATTTCCTCTGTCAGACTTGCTGTTTCTCTTGAAGGGAGGGGATGATTTTGGAAGCTTTTGACATCAGTAGTTCAGTGGAGGTTGTAAAAGATGTCAAGACTGGTTCAGTGAAGTACTTGTATTTCACTGCATAGGGGACCATGGGGACAATAGAAAGAATTATATTCTGAGTGTAGTTTCTTACCATTGTCACTGCCCCAGAATATTCTGCAACATTCAGCTCAAGAGCTAAAAAGGAGAACTCTTCTTACTCAATCACCTCAATTACCCTTTTTTATAAGTCTTGGTTAGAGTCAATGGTAGACTATAATAGAGAAAGAAATAAAATAAGTTCTTTGTTATCCTAAACAAAATAAATATGCTGAAAGGATAACCAAATACTGGTCTTGCTGACATAGTGAAATATTTTACTTTCAGTCTAGGAAATCAGTCAAAACCCCAGTGCCATAAAAGAAAACAGCTTCTGAGCTTACCCAGGATTGAGAAGAATGCCTTTGGTTTTATTGCAAACCCTCTTAGACTTCCCAAAGATCCAAGAAGCAGTCAGTAAGCTCTATTTTTGTGCCATCCCCTGCCTCTCTCACCCACAAATTTTGATCACAGTCAAAATCAGTTGTTAGTACATTACCGTATAATATGCAGTTACAGCCCATTTTTATGATATTCTGTGTTACTCATTCTGTTTGGAATGTCGTTTTTTGTATGTGAAGAAGCCATGAATTTCAACAATGTGCTACATTCTTTTATTTCTTTGTAAATTAATACTTTTTACTAGGTCCCTGCTTTTAAATCTGTCCATCAGTTATATTACGTCTTCTTTGTAATGTCCTTTAGGCTGTTTTTTTTCTGAAAACTTGATGTTTGAATAACAGTATTGATGGTTAAATGAAAGGATTGACCATGTTTTAAACAGTACAAAAGAGCAGTGCCTGTATTTCATCTTTCCCCTCTGCAGTCTACCCCCTCCATCAGCTCAGGGGGAACGTTTGAGACAGCCCATGCCTGTCTTCTAAAAATGCTGTGATATAAACAAAAGTTGGCTGGCCTGGAGTGTGGTGGTGAAGCTGCAACTGCACTTGTAGTTTCTGCTGGTGTTCCTCCTGACAATATTTTCAACACATTTCCAAACTGCAGCTCAATACCTGGTTAGATCCCTGAAGTCTTTTGTGCATTTTTATGTCGTAGCAGTGCCAAGCCGCATAGTTTTCAGCTGCAGCTGTATCAGTCAAAACTTATCCTGAAAGAAGCTTTGCTTGTCCACTGGGGCATGTCTGAAGGGGGAGATGACCAAACGCTAGTTGCAAAGGTCTAGAAATACATGTTATGAACATAATTAATGAAAAGGAAGAAGTGGAATGTTGCCTTTTCTCTCGATCATCTGATGATTACGGCAATGCATATATACGGCAATATATAGCAGCTAAGTTGCAGCAAGGCTCTCTGGGATCACAGAAATGCATGATGTCCTGTTGAAGGGGTTTAACATATATGGTGGAAGAGCTGGTTATCCCTGAGAGGTGCCTGGAAAGCATCATTGTCATTTGCACATATGACTCAGGTGTCCTCAAACATTACTGAGCCTGCATCCATTGAACGTCCCAGTCTTTTATGCTTTTATACTCTTACTCACACAGTGTGGCACTCTGTTTTCCCCAGAATTTCACGTGACTGAAACCTTGCTTTATGTGTACAAGCATTTTCCCAGGACTCATTTTACCAGCTGCAATAAACAGAAAAGGGGCTGTACCATTTTTGGTTTGGAATGAAACATTGGCATTAATATCAACCTACATCGCACCTGGCTTGCATCTGTTGATATACTCTGAATACCCTGAAATTCAGGGTGAGGTTTTCTAAAATTCATACCTATGTAAGCTGCACCTGTGGAATGACTGTCTGACATTCTGTGCTCAGGGCTGTGGTGCTTTGCCACCGAAGAAGGTACAAATACACCCTCTAAATAAACCCTTTCCCTAATAGAGCGTCAAGAGGGAGCAGCATCTTTTAGGTGGATGTTTGGAAAGCTCCTTAAGGTCCCTTGTTTGATTATCCATTTGTATCGTCATGTAGCCTACACCCACATACAACAGTCACCACCTTGTTGGATGTGGTCCAGGTACATTGTGCTGCCTATACGACTGTGTCTAACTGACCTTTTACAGATTTGGTAGTGTCCATGTCCTAGGTCTACTAGTTCCTGCAGGTTCAAGGTATCTCGAATTTATCAGTCTTTGGGAGTCTTTCATTCTTAGTGTCAGCTGTGAGGTGTAGCTGCAGAGGCTAGGGACAGCTCTATTTCTCACTTATTGTAAGTATTTGTGACTTGTTTGTGGTCCGTAGCTCGACAAACTCTTTTTTTTTCTATTTCTTTTTCCTTGGGCTTTTGTTTTGGCTTTTTTGGATTGGTTTGTTTTTTGGATTTTTTTTCAGTTTATTGTTTTGTGTGTGATTTTTTCTGTTTAACAAGAAATAGCGCAGTGAAATAAAAAATAAGTTAAATCAGTGAACTTGCATTAAGTACAGGGAGGAATATGGGTGCCTCCTACCTGTGGGGTCATATACAGCTTCCTGCCACTTTTTTTGTCAGCAATTTTGAAATTAATTTTAAATAACCAATATTAACTTACAGCTTTGATGTCTTCTGGGTTTTTTTCTGCTTTGCATTAGAGTCCTGTCCCTCTGTGTAAATGTGTCAGCCATTGTAATTCTGTAGCACTTGAGCTAATAGTGCCAGAAATTTTCATGTTGTTCATTCTCACAGAAGTTTCCTTCATTGTTTTGATTACTGGCTACAAGGCTGACAGGGCCTATCAGAACTGTTTATGATTTTGACCCTCTTTGTATAACACTGTCTTAAGGCAGAGGGAGGGGAATAAAAGCAGATGGAGCATTTATGGATATCCGTGATTAAAATAACTGCATTTAATCAACAACATTCAAAAATGTCTTCATAGAACTTCAAATTAGTGGTTTTGTGTGTACTTTCCTGCTGTTTTCTGATTTCAAAATTTAAAAAATAATGTTACCTTTTCTTTCCTCATATTTATAGGGACTGTGATGAAGGAACATGCAAAGATAAATCTAACATTTTGTATGCTTGGGCAAGAAATGCTCCACCCACCAGGCTACCCAAAGGTATTGTCCCTTTAATATGGAGTTCTTGTGTACAGGGGCAAGGGAAAAAAGAGAATGTAGAAGTAAGCATTTGGCATCTCTGGAAGCCTCCTATATTATTTTTATTATGTTTGGCTGGTGGAAACTGTATAAACATCAGCCTCATAAGCTACAAAATTTATTATGCTAGCTAATATACTTGGGGTTTGTTTTGTCATCCTGTTTGCTATAACATTATGGATTTCTGTAGAGGGAAAAAGGCTAAGGGAGAGACAACTGTCGTAACATAATGTTTATTTTTATATAGTATTAAACTTGCATTTGCTTCTGTATGTTACAGGAAGGGTACTATTTATACATCTTCCAGTAGCACACAAACTAAATTAAAATACTTTTGCGTGTTCAGGAAAGCACAAACGTGTTTAGTCTAAACATTGATTTTTTTTTTCCCCTGTGCTTATACTTGACAATTTTATCTCTATTTTAATAATCCATTTACACACTTATCAACATGAATTTGGTTCTCTGAATGTTCCCAGTTAAAAAAATTGTTACCTGGAGGATTCTATGGAATCTTTACTGTTAAAACTCAACTAGTAATAATTTTCTAAGCTGTCCAAAAATCCAGGGTTTGTGGGGAGTATTCATAATGATGCCTCATTTGTGCACCAAGAGGGTGAAATCCCATTTATAAATAGGCTTTCCCAACTACTGTAGGATTCTGTGTCCAGATAGTAAGAAATTGCTTTCTCTGCTTCTTTTGAAAAGTGTTCATGCTAGTATTGGCTTAGAGAATTGGTGATATTTTGCAATTTCATTATTTCAGATTTCTCCATTGTCTTTTGTGTCTGTGCTTGCTTCTGTCAACAAGTAATACAGCTGCATAATTTCCTCAAAATCTTGTATAGATACAATATTAATTTACATCTCTAAATATTTTACTGCAGATCTGTTTATCTTATCATATTCAATGTGTTCTTAGTAAGTGAGTGTTTATCAGTTTTTATCATGCACAGATTGAAGGTTGTACCAAATCCTATGTGGATGACATAGCCTCGTTTTTAATTGGAATATTTTTATATAGTTGTATAGAGATATATAATCTGTATTACAATTCTTCCTTTGAGAGAATTCTCTGTTTAAAACGAATATCTATTCATTGGTAACTAAGTTATGGTCGTAGCTTCTTATTCTGTTTTGTGAAGGTGGTTGTCCTGGTTTTCAGGACACAGTTTTCTTCTCTGATGTGTCAGTGAAATTTTCTGCCCCTTCACTCTTAGCTATTACAGTGATTTCTATTTTTTATGCGATCAGTGGTAGTGAACCATCTGAAATTTTACTGTTTCTGAAAATTATGCATTTTCCATCTTTTAGGTGTTGGATTCAGAGTTGGAGGAGAAATGGGTGGCAGATATTTTGTGCTCCAGGTACACTATGGAGATATTAGTGCATTTAGAGGTATGTATTTTGGAAATTGGTTCCGTAAATTGGATCAGTTACAGCATCAAAAATATTTACATTACTTGTAGAAAGTTATTTTTCTGTTAGTGCAATTCACAAAGATCAATGGGCATATTTGTAATAAAGTTTCTTATTAACTTGACTTTATAAACTTGCTTTATCACTGTAAAAGTTTGAAGGGTGAGCACTTTTTCTTCAAAAATTGTAGAGCAAATGACTTAGAATAATTAAGGAGCACATTAATAATTTCAAGTGTAGGAAGAAACTTGGTTTTTCTATCTATAATTCAGTGTTTTCTTTAATAAAGTTGAAACAAATTGCTGTGAACACCCTTAACCTGTCACCTTACTTGAATAGATAGTGAAAAGATGATACACACTGGCTAGTCAGTCACAGTATCTGTGTTTGGAAAAAAATTTAACTCTTGGAGACAGTGTATTGGGAATTTTTAAAGATTAAACACTCATTTCAGGCATGGCAGTATGTTTATTGAGTGTGTCACAGAATGGTTGAGGTTGGAAGTGACCTTTGGAATTCATTTGGTCGATGCACCCTGTGCTCAAACATGGCCACCTACAGCCTGTTTCTCAGGGCCAGGTGGCATTATGATATCTTCAAGGGTAGAGACACCACAAGCTCTCAGGGCAACCTGTAGCGAGTACTTAGTCACCCTCACTGTGAAAAGGTGTTTGCTCATATTCAGAGGAAACCTCCTGTGTTTCACTGTGTGCCTATCGCCTGTGATCCTGTCACTGGGCACCACTGAAAAGGGCTTGGCTCCCTGTTATTTACATCCTTCTGTCTGAGCCTTGTCTTCTCCAGGCTGAAAAATCCCAGTCCTGTCAGCCATTCCTCATAGAAGAGATGCTTCAGTACCTGTGTCATCTTCATTGCCTTTTGCTGGTCTCTCTCCAGTGTATCCATGTCTCTCTTGTACTCAGGAGTCCAGAACTGGATGCAGTTCCAGGCATGGTCTCATCAACACTGAGTGGAGGGTAAGGGTCGCCTCCACTGACCTGCCAGCAATACTTCGGCAAATGCAGCCCAGGGTAGCATTTGCCTTCTCTGCAGCAAGGACACACTGCTGTCTCATGTTAATTTTGGTGTCCATGAGGATTCCCCAAGGCCTTTTCTGCCAAGCTGCTTCCCAGCTTGGTGTTCCCAGCCTGCACTGGTACCTCCCCAGGTGCAGGATTTTACACTTACTTTTGTTGTGCTTCATGAGGTTCCTATCAACCCCTTTCTCCAGACCCTGTCTAGACCCTCTGGATGGGAGCACAGCCCTCTGGTGTATCAGCCACTGCTCCCAGTCCAGTGTCATCTGCAAATTTGCTGCAGGTGCACCTGCCCCATCATCCAGGTCATTCATGAAGGTATTGAAAAGGACTGGCGTCAATGCTGACTCCTGGGCTACACTGTTAGTTACTATCGTCCAACTAGACAACCTTTCAGCAAGTGTTCAATCCACCTCACTGCTCATCCAGCCCATACACTGTGAGCTGGGATTAATGACATTTGGATTTCATTAATGCATATGGAGATACTCATGATCTGAGATTTTTTACAATTATTTATTTATTTACATTTAATATAGTACTTTGTTCTTTAAACCTGAAGTGCTTTCTTCAGACACCTTTAAGATGCATGTATGCTTACTTTTCCTATGTAAATCACATCCTGTGTGTAGTTTTTGGGTTGGAGCTCTCTGGTCATCAAGAACAAAAACCCTGTGAGTCATCGTTGTCACAAAAACTCTTGTGATACATGACTGTGTGGGATTTATATGAGAATGTGAAGATCCTTGTGGTCTAAGTGATAATGACAATGTTGGACTTGTGACAAGAAAGAGGAAGTAAGCTGAATAGTAGAAAATTAAGGGAGAAATATGCATAGCAACAAAACTCCACTTGCACACTTGGAGAAGCTATAGTGAAATAAATTATCACCTGAAATGAAAATTTAATTTTACAGCCTGAACACAGGTCCCTGCAGTAAGCTTCCTTTTAGTTTAAATCATATAGTTTAAGTGTCCTGAACTTTGATTGTGGTGTTCAGAGGTGTTCAATGTGTAATCTTCAACTGGATTTACAGGTATTTTTAAACTTCAGGAATAACCTAAAATGAGCTTTCTTGGATGAATGAGATGTCTGTTGATAACCACAGCTTGTCTGAGCATAAGAATATCTATCAACTCTTTCTAAAAAATACATTGTTTTATTTCATTAGCCAGATACTAAACTAGTTCTGCTTTCCATACCTTCTTAGCTGTAATGCAGAGCTGATAATTCATACTCAGATATGCACTTTATGCTCAGAAATCAAAATAAAGCTTAGTAGCTTGTCTAAAATAAACATATTAAAAATAAAATGAAAAAAGCAAAAATGCATTCTACAAAACAAGGGGGCATGTCCAAAGAGCCATCTTAGAGAAATAGTAATTGCTCTACTTGACTTGCTTTGCTTTTTGTATTGCAAAAGCAAAAATTATTTTGGTTTGGAGTAGTGGCTGATAGTGGATGCAGTCATGTAACAAGTAAAAAGCTGTCAGAACCTTGTCTGCCTTTTTAATATGTTCATGAGTGTTTAGAACCCAGATTCAAATTAAAGTAAATCTAGCCATCTTTAGGTCTATAAAGAGGCCCAGTCAGCTTTCAGTTTGGGATGTAGGGATATGCAATGTAGTTGTCACCTTGTTCTTTATTTATTCATCTGTGTAAGTGCCTTGAGATCTCAGTTTAAAAAAATGTGTGTTTTTTTCTAATGCCTAGAATCCCTTTTTGTCCTCCATTCATATAACAAAGACTAATGTTATTTCTAACCTGCTGTACTATTATCTTAGTCCTTTCCCACACATGTGAGAATATAATTGTTATCTTCAAGAATCGAAGTGTTTAGAAGTTGTCAATGACTTTTAACATGTTCTGTATGAAAGGTTATCACATTCTATTATTTCTATGTGTGTAACTTGCATTGTTTGAAGCAATTTGTCATTTTTGTCAGTATGCTTGGAGCAAACTTTTGGGGATTTCTTTGATTTTTGTGCAACTTTGGTTCTTTTCTCATACCTTTTCTTGTTATCTTTCTTTTCCTGCACAATGCACAATATTTGCATTCTCAGCTCCTTCTCCTAATCCCCAGTTTTTCACTGAGAAGAAATTTATTTCTCCCTGCTATCATTTCCTACAAAAATTATGTTACCCGTATCATAGATGTACTTCCTTTTGTGAGGGAGGTGTGGAGTTGTTTGCATTGGGTTAGGTTTTGGGTTTTTTGGTTGGGGAGAGTAATTAGTTTTGGCCACACAACTGGTAGATGTTTTTAAAATATCTGTTCCTTTATCAGTCTTTGAGTTGTACGTTGTCGTTTGAGTTCTAGCCTTATTTTGAATGTTGTATTCAGTGGGCATCTCTGATACTATCTTGGTGTCTTGAATAAAGTCAATTTTGCATATTCACAGATACTCATATCTAAGAGATATTATGATATCTTTTAGCAAATCAGTCATCTGTGACCTTTACGTGATATTCGTCTGTTAAAAAATTATGTGGAACCAGGATCAGCAATTGTTCGTCTCCTTTCAGTTTGGAAAGTATGTTGTGAAAATATCACTGGGGAGTCTGTGTTTGCATTTTGTTTTTCACAAATTGAATAAATGTAGAGTTTGATTCCATATGTTACTAGATTTTTAAAGAATTTTGCTGAGTTGATTTTAAATGAGTGAACAGATGGGACAGTGCTAGCACCTTGACTTTCATGAAAAAGCTAAATTGAGCTAGTTTTCTTTTATGTGTCAAGTATTAGATATCAATATTGAGTGCAACATGGTGAATTTGTCTCTTTCTTTACCAAGACTTCTAGTTTATTTTCGTACTGCATGCCTTTGCTTTTCAGATATAACTTCTACAAAGTTACTTCCCCATGGGCAGTACCTTGCTCAGAGGTTGCGCTCAGCTTTGAGGCTACTTCTTATCTTTAATGAGGCAAAGCCAATTCTGAGACTGTATGTGGAGATTCTGGTACAAATCAAAGGGTTGACTTTGAAAGAGAAGAGGTTTGGAGCATTATAAAAAGTGCCACTCTGTTGCAGTGAAAATTTTTAAGTCTTCTAGTAGCCATGTATGAGTGCTATACTGTTCCTGTGAAATGCTAGGAATAGGGCAATGAAGAAGCTGAATAAATTGTTCAAACAATGTGCTCAGTAATTTGTAATCCATATACCCAGAGTGCAAAGAAAATAGGTTTTGAAGACTGATCGTTTTTCTGAGTAAAAGTCTTGTATAATTTTAAGTATGTAAGAAGCCCTTGAATTTTCAACATCTGTGGCAGATCATCGTACATGTAATTAAAGAGTTCAGGATTGTAGATCTGGATGGACAGATTAGCAGAAAGCCTGTCAGACTTATTCTGGGTGTTTTATCAAAATCAGCTTACAGAAAGAGAGTGTTTCTCTTTAGGATAATTTGGCTTCACTTCAGGTGTGAGTATTTCATTTGGCAAACTTAGTATTTCTAGTATTTGATATATTTCTCATAGAAAACATGATGAATAGGAGTAGTGTAGGTGATTCTTTTTAACTAATTTAAGCATTTATTGGCAGTTAAACTTAGAAAGACCATTAAAGTGTTGTCTACAATGTTTAAAAATTATGTATTTTAAATCTGAAGACAGTTTAACATGCATCATTGATTTTGTTTGACATAGGTGAATAAAAACAGGGAACATTTAGTATGTATATTATGTTTGCACACAACACAAAAGGCAGTCATAAGCACAACTTCTGCTTTCATTGGAGTTGGAAACTGCATGGACAATCAGTTTTCATTTGAACCTGTTTCTCAGGTGTATAGAAATGCATTTTCCAGTCTTGCCATGTGGCAAATACTGACTAGTAACTTCTTTGTCCCAGAGCAGTGCATATTTACTGAGTAGCTGAAACAAAGAAATCAAAGTAGTTAGATAAGGTGGACTGACAGACTGCAAAAAAGATGCTAGATTTTGTTTGATTTGTGCATTGTTTAAGGATAATTTTGCTTAGGTCAGACAGTGGAGCTTGAAAAGAATTGGCACAGGGAACTGGTATGACCTCAGTGCAATCAGTGCTCTTGGGTGGAGGATTCCGTGTTTCGAGCATTCCAAGGAGCTGAGCCGTAGGGAAGGAGAAGCAAGGAAAGAGCATTTCCAGCTTACCTCTGTTGTTGTTAGAAAAATGTTTAGCTCAGTTATGGCTAAATTCAACTACAAAGAAAATTATAAAGCACGATATAAATTCCTTAGAAGTCTAGACTAATATATCCATTTTACTCTTTACACAGCACTGTAGCTCAGATACTTGTGCCAGAAGTTGATTTCTGTTTTTCTGATACTGATTTAAGATGTTTGCCTTCTGTAGGAGAAGTAGTTACTTTCCCACTATCTTCAGTTCAATTCAAAATTGCTTAATTTAGATGAACATACTACATAGAAGTTTTTCAAAGCTCTGAAAATATAAATAGTGTGAAAACACTTTACCACTGGAAAAATTAAATATATTAGAGTTGTTTCCCTCCTCCTGCTGTTATAGAAAGAGACACTATGACATAGTAAACATTAAATTTTTCAAACATGACTCATGTTTGGCTCACAACAGGTTTGATTTTATTGTTTTGAGGTAGTTTTGCATCAGTGTTCAAAAGACAGGATGGTGATGTTCTCAACTAAAATTCCAAAACTGAGGGATGCAGAACTACTGATTGCATTTTAAATTTTACTATTAGAAGTAATAATGTTCTGAGATGAAGCGAGCATTTTCCAACATCCACTGAAATTGATGTAGTGTGGACTTTCATATAATGTTAAAAAAGCCAAGTTTTGCGGCATCACCTCTATTATATGAATAGACAAAAAATTAGTCAAAAAATTTAGTTTGAAACAAGGGGCATGGAGCAAAAAATGCTTCACAAAGACCTTTGTGGCACACATAGAGGTATTGAGATTGTAAGCAAAGCTTCGTAAAGTAAAGAGTAGAGGATAAACAGTATATACATGTCTTAACTCTTCCTAAAACAATTGACAAGGAATTTAATTTCTCATTCTCTTGAATGCTTTTCTACCATTCCCTTACTATTTTCATAGTAGCTGAGTCTTTCTGACACATTTGGATTCTTGATTTGGCCATTTGGAAGAAACATTAATTATCTGTGATTGAAAAATAGTGCATGGTATGGCATGACACCTATTCAGTGCAACTAAGGTAGTAGGTAGTCTTGATGAAAGAGCTTCTGTTCTAATTTTTCTTTCCTGTATACAGTGAAGACTTTCCTTTTTTGTTATTTGTAAAGTGAAAACTGTGGTTTACTAATTCAGATTTTAAAATCCAGAAGTGTTTTTTGGGATGCACAGAGATGTAGTAACTAAGAATTCACACATGCCATGATGATGAGCATTTTAAGAACCCAGTGAAATTGTGTTAGTTACTATTTCACTTGCGTAACACGTACTAATTTATACATCTACATTGTGAACATACTGAAAACAAATTCTGGTAAGTTCTATTATCAGTGGTGGTAAAAAACAAACTGAATATTGCCCTGTAATAATGAGATGTGGTGTGAATAAAATAGATACTGTTTGAAAAACTGAACTAATACTTTTTAATCAGTAAAGTCTCCCTCCGTTGTCTCACTCTAGCTATTATCCTTTATTCTGTGCAAATGCACTGCTTTCTTCAGTTTGGAATCTAGCTATTGGTAGGAGGAAAAGCTGTCTGAAGTTCCCACTTCTCAGCGGACCAATAGCCACTCTGATCTCTTTCTTACCTGAAGTGTATACTGTTAGACGATATTATTTCAGAATTTTCTCTTAACTGGCTTTGGAGTTAGATCCGTCTTCTAACTACAGTTTTTCTTGGTACAGACATAAGAAAAAGAAACTTTCTTTAAAAAGTACAAAGGTTGAACTCCCAGATCACCAACTAAAATTGAGTAGCTCTCAAGACAATTGTATCTTTAAATTAAAATGTCAAACATATTAGATAATTATGATACAGTGCATTAACAGATTAATTAGCTATTTTTACTCGCCTTCTGAGTTATCCAGTGTTAAACAGATTCACTGTCTGTATTGAATTCTTAAATTCATTTGTTGACTTTATTACAAGGATTTCTTTCAGCTGCATTATTAATGATTAAAATCATTGCTTTATCACAAATCTTTCATTCTTCTAACATATCAAAATAAAAATTTGTTTGAAGCAAACAAATCTTTTCTGCCATTGCAAAAATTGGTACTGTTTCATCTCTCAGATGCTAGTTCATAGAGTTCTACAATTTCTGGTGCAAAAAAAGCAGTTGGTTTTTCATCTACCAAAGTTTTGATCTACATTAGCATTTTGCTACAAATGCACTACTGTGTTGTTCAGGTTTGTGCAAATTCAAGTAATGTTTCCATAGTTTGAAAGTTTTACTGTAAACAGAAAGATCAAAACTTGTTCTGTCTTATGCTATTTTTTATACAGCAAAAGAATCATATTAGTATGTAATAATTTGCACTGGTTCAGTTGCTAATATTTAAACTCTTTCACAATTTGTGCAGATAAACACAAGGACTGCTCTGGTGTAACTTTACATCTGACACATCAAAAGTGAGTATCTTTAAAAATACTTACCTATGATTATATTTTTTATCAGAACAGAAGGTACAGATTCCTTTGAAAATACATGAAATCAAAATTCTTTATATTGTGAAGTATGTACTATTTTTAAGTTATATGTCATCTGTTGACAAGAAGTTTCCTTTCTGCTATGAAATTTGACAAAGTGGTGCAATCCATTTTAAGAGCTTGATATTTAGAAATCTGGGACAAGAACTGTAATTAGAAAGATGATCATTTTGACCTATTTCACATACTTTGCAGAAAATGATTTAAAAATTGTAGCACTATGAAAATAAGGAAAGAAAGGAAAGTGCTGTCTAACGACTTCTTTCTCAGTAGACCTATTTCGGATGTAATCCAACATTTAGAAATTAGTGGTGTTAAATGGTATTGACTGTCATGTCACTTGCAGTTGGGACTTGTTTACCAGAGCTTGGATTTTGAATTGCAGGCAGCCTTTGATTGCTGGAATGTATCTTATGATGTCTGTGAACACTGTCATACCACCAGGCGAGAAAGGTGAGTCATCATTCTACAAAGCGATTATACAATCTCAACATCTGATATATTTTTACTGCTTATTGCAGAAGAAAATTTAACGGAGACTTGGTGAATTGTAGATGTACAAATTAATTAAATTATGAAAAAAACAGTTATATGTTTAAATTTGTACATTTACCAATGACCACGTCAATAAAGGCAATGTTGTAGAAAATAGTATTGTACAAAACAATAATCTGTGCCACTTTGAAGTTTCTAGGATTCCTAGGAGTATTTCTTTGATTTATTTTTGTCTTAAAACTTCACCAAAAAAGCCCTACCTATTTTCTAATTCCTCCTCTCTCCCTTAAAAAGCTATAAAATGTTTTTGACTCTTCTTCATATGCCTTTGTCAGTCTTGATATTTGTGATTCTACTAAGAGTTCAGTTTTAGTAAATTAATTTCTACCAGTAGAGAGCTACTATTTAAGAATTTTTTTTCTGATGTTCCTAGTTGGTTCAAAGATCAAAATGCTGAACAAAGCATTGTAAAAGAAAATTTCCAAACAGTTTATATTCAGAAGTGGTTTTTTATCTGAAACTCAGTTTGGATAGTCCCTATATCCTTTTAGGCTAGCATGGAATGTTCTGTTTTAAGGAAGCTGACCACTGACTTTACATTTTCCTCTGCTATACCAGAATTTTGAATTAGATAACCAAGAGCACCATTTGTCCCATTTACAGTTAGTTGACTAAATAGGGTGAGGTGGTCAAATGCTCAGCTGCCTCCAGCTGTTTAGTGAATTCACCAACTTAAAACATTTTTTAATTTGAATTGAAACTTAACATATTTTGCTCTTAAATATGAAAACATATCAAATTAATCCTCTGCTATCCGTGAAATATTTGATCAATGCAGGAATTTAATTTTTCATCTGGAGAGGTGAGGGAGAAACGGAGAAAGAATCAATTCTGTGCCTGTTGGTAACTGCTTTCTCATGTTAATTGAATTTACAATTCTTAAGTGGAGCATGAAGTTTGTTATAACAGGGAACATGCAGATACCTCTCAGAGAGGCACCAGCAGCGGGATTTTTCTGCAGCTTTTCCCTTGCTACTGTCACTCCACCTAACACAAGTACTAGCCTGTAGATACTGTACAGCACTTCTCAGCCAAGGTCTGTACCTAACTCTTAGTCTTTAAGCCTGGGCCTAGAGCTGCAAGACTTTAAATTGTGTCAGTTTATAATTATATCAGTTTATTTTAATTTTCCCCTGAGCAGCTATGTCTGTTTTAAGCATCCCTCAACATAGTCTGTACACAAATGTATTATTTTACTTTGTTAAATTACAGTACTGTACATAGGGAAAAACATTACTGGCTTTCAGCCCAATTTTATGTGTACATCATTGCAGAAAGTAATTTTCAAGTGACCTGTACTGTATTTTATTAGTTCTTTGCAGATGTCTTGAGATAGACACTGCGGACATACAAGAATATTATCTGTTATCTTTTGAAATCATCTGTTGTCCAGTGTAGGTGTACTTTTTATAAACCACACTGAATGAATTACAGTAATGTAACTTTTCTATGTTTGATAAATTGCATGTTTTTCATTGTTTTTTGCTGTCTTATTTTAACAGTGGTTAATTCAGACATTGCCTGCCATTACAAAAGATTTCCAATGCACCTTTTTGCCTACAGAGTTCATACACACAGACTAGGTAAGAGTTTTATTGAAACATAGGAATATCAAATACTTAAAAGAAAAATGCTGACATTACAATTGTTTTTTTAAGTTATGTCTTATGTTCACATGCATATTGATATCTTATAGGTAAAGTAGTGAGTGGATACAGAGTGAGAAATGGTCAGTGGACATTGATTGGTAGACAGAGCCCTCAATTACCACAGGTTAGTTTGGGGTTTTTTTTAATTCTAACTGTGGATCTTAATTATCTTTATTTTTAACTTGAGCAGCTGAATTGTAAATCATGTGCCCATAAATTTGCATTGTGGTGTTTCCACTCATACGTGTTGTTGTGCCACTGGAAGTGAATATTCTCAAGTATTACCATGATTAGATTATGATGCAAAAACCATTTCAGATGTATAGCACTGTTGTTCTCCTGTGTATGTTGACGTCAATAATATGAAACACTTTCTCTGATTGTGGTGAATCATCCTCTCTTTCAGGCATTCTACCCAGTAGAACATCCGGTAGATGTTAGCTATGATGATATCCTAGCAGCTAGATGTGTGTTCAGTGGGGAAGGCAGAACTACAGAGACACATATAGGGTAAATTTTATCTGTTTGCTCCATTTCCTAACTTTATTTTCCATGGTATTGGTTATATGTAGAAATGTTTGTTTCATGTCTTCTTTCAAGGTTATTCTAAGAAACAATTTTTGCCAGAGTGTTCTGTTTTGCTGTCTAGTCTGCATAAGATTTAACTCTACATGATGTTTATTTCTGTTACTTATGTGAATGTTCACTTTGCTGGAGTGTTCAGAACATTTCTCACATGAAAAGTATGCTGCCAAACACCTTACTCAGATCTTGGGCTGATCTGCACTTAGAGAAGGATTTGGAATATCAGTTCTAGAAAATGTTTTTTTCCATAAGGTGACATTATTGACTCTTTATAATGAAATAATAAACCCTCACAATTTCTCTGCATTATTTCAGAAAGAAAATGTATAGAAGCTTAAAAAATTCTGATATTTTGACCTATAGAAAAATATAACCTTAAAAATTGAGAATAAAACACCAGTAACCTTTTTTCTATATAAAAATATACAGGCTTTTATGAAAAACAATCAAACAGAAATGGCTAATAATCATAAATAGGAAAATCTGAACTATGTTAGTCAGTGACGCTATTTAGCTGCAGACGACAGACACAACCCTGTAAGATCAAGTTGACAAATACAGCTGTAAAAATAGATCCAATATTAATATTCTCCTGACCAGCTCTGGTTCTTCAAACCATAATTTGCTGCATATGTAGAGATATGCAGATATCCTACAGAAATCTCTCCATTCTGGGTGTATGGGCTGCAGCATCCCAGGGAAAGATTTTTAGTGCACTAGGCACTCTAAGATTGCGTGTCAGTGTGCGTTTAAGGTTTAAACACAGATGTATTGCCCTTCAGTGGGTAGTTAAAATACTGACGAGTAACAGCTGAAGCAAAATTAGTTGATTGAGAAGAAGTTTTCACACAGGTCATAACACTAAAAAATATATCTTATATGTAAAAATACATCTGAAATATATCTCAGTTTAACTTTTGACCTTTTATTCCAAGTTCAAAAAGTTTCTGCCACATTTCTGTAACTTTTGCCAAAGCAATTCCTGTCTGTTGAATAATCCTTAGTTTAAGAAAGTCTTAGGACAATTACGGTATTTTCTTACAATGTACTAGTGTGCTCTCAGTGGAGAATCTCTCTCTCTCTC